GGTAGGGGCTACAACCAGAACAGCCATACTTCTAGTTGTTTCATTTATTGGACTCAAATGATCCTACTTAAAAGAAGTCTGCTGACAATTTTTTTTAAAGTTTTGAAAAACACTACTAGCACTTCTAAAGACTAATGTAGTCCTTAACATACTCATTAGTGTTTGTTTGTTTTTTTCCATGCTCATTAATGTTTTATTTCTGTTGACTTGGACGATCCTTTGGAACTTAAACACTTTCCTTAGGTAATCAGGATGTTACACGGCCATCAGGTTTTTAGGCTATCCCACAAAGACCTACCCAACCCATGATGCAGTTGATCCAGAAAAATGCACTGCGTTTCAACTCTGAGCTTGGGGTACCTTCTCCCTGTTTATATCAAAGTAATTACTCTGAGTCTCGACTGCCACTCAACTCAGAGAGAGGGTATTTCCCACTTGGAGGGCCTCTAAGCTCAGTCCCCTCTTCTCACTCTACATTCCCGCCAGGCAATCTCATCCATGTTTGGGGCTGTGATGAGGGTTCTATGAGCTGTTAATTCCCAAATGTGCTTCTCCAGCCCAAACCTCTCATGGAGCACTATATCCATATTTCCAACTGCATACTTAATTCCTCCACTTAGGAGTCTCATAATCACCCCACATTCAGTATGCTCAAATGGAACTCACCATCGTCCCCTCTTCCAGAGTTATTTGTCTTAGAGAAGGGTATTGTCATCTATCCGGTTGTGTAGACCAGACACCTTCCTCTCCTCATTTCCCACATCCAATCCATAGCCAAGTCCTCTTGGCTTTACCTCCTACCACTCCTTCCCATTTATACCACCTGGAGTCTAGTCCAAGCCACCACCATCTCCTGCATAAATTATTGTGATAACCTCTTAATTAGTCTCTCTACAATCCCTCTCGTTTCCCTGTTCAATACTTTCTCCACAAAGTTTATCACATAATCTTTTAAAAATTGCAAATCTGATTATGTCACACTCCAGCTTTAAAACACTCTCAATGGCTCCCCAATGCTCTACGACTAAAGTCCAAGCTCCTAACTATCACTTGCTACTCCCATCTGCTCTTCTGCCTGGGCCTCTCCTGCCTCACTGCTCGTCTGTAACCACTCTCCACATCTCCATCACAGAGGACATTTTTCCAGTTCCTAACATATGCTATTATGCCTTTTCTTTAGTCTAGGCTTAAGTTCATGCTGCTCTCTTGCACCCAGAATGCTTTTTCCTCCCTCCATTCCCTTAGCTGGCTAATTTCTACTCATCTTTCAACTCCCAGTGCATGCTTTGCCTCCTCAGGGCCCCCTCTCCTGGCCCCCTCTGTCAGACTCTCTCTTAGCCTCTGCACATCTCCTCTGTATCACTTACTACCACTGAGAATAACAAGTGCTCCCCTCAATTAGTTGTTTAAGACATGCTGCCTTGCTAGGAGGCAAGTTCTAGAAGAGCAGGGCCCACGCAACGCAGAGGATCAAGACTATCTGGACCCAAATCCTAGCTCTGCCACTTGCTGGCTGTGTGACACTGGGGCAAGTCACTGAACTCCTCTGGGTTTTATTTTCCCCATCTGTAAAATGAGAATACTGATACTTCCTACTTCACGGGGTTATGAAGATTAAATCATTATTATTGTTTACTCGGTACAGTGCTTATAAGAGTGTCTGGCACATATTAAGTTCCATGTGTTTGTTAAATATATATCAGTAATCAGCTGATGCTTGTTGCTAGATAAAGGATCTGGGAGAGCATAGGCCCTTCCCCCAAAAGGACAAGTGTCTATGGCTTGTCTAGAATCACCAGTCAATGGTGATGGCCTACTTAACTCTTAATACTCTCTGGTGACTACTGGAATTTGTTCCTTTTTTTAAATCACTGAATGATACTCTGGAAAAGACAAATCTAGTGAGAAATGCATGTATTTTTCATGAGTAAAGACTCCTCAGTTAAGGACAATAATCCATAGGCGTAAACATGCCAAAATATCACCCTGAATCAGTGCTACAGGATAAAATGGCTTTGTCTTTGTGTAATACTAGAGGCCTGGTGCACGAAATTCATGCACGGGTGGGGGCTTGTGTGTCCCTCAGCCCAGCCTGCACCCTCTCCAATCTGGGACCCCACTGGGATTGGGCCTAAATGGGCAGTCGGACATCCCTCTCACAATCCAGGACTGCTGGCTCCCAACCGCTCGCCTGCCTGCCTACCTTGCTGCCCCTAACTGCTTCTGCCTGCCAGCCTGATCACCCCCTAACACTCCCCTGCCAGCCTGATCGACACCTAACTGCTCCCCCGGCCCAATCGGTCCCTCCCAACTGCCCTCCCCTGCAGGGCTGGTCCCCCCCAATTGCCCTCCCATGCAGGCCTGGTCCCCCCCAACTGCCCTCCCCTGCAGGCCTGGTCCCCCTCTAAATGCCCTCCCCTGCTGGTCATCTTGTGTGTTGGAGTGATGGTTAATTTGCATATTACCTCTTTATTATATAGGATGACATTCTAATCCTGAACTTCTCTATTAGAGACCCCAACCAGCTGGGACAATGCCAGGACTCCTCTCCACTGGGTGACACAGTGCAGCCAAGGACCTTGCTGAAGGCCACTCTTCTTGCCGTGGACTTCTCCAACAGACCCCGCAGCTCCGGGGTAGGGAGATAATATAACAGACCCCTCTGAGAACTTCACAGAAACTCCGGACCTCTCTAAATGCTCACGGGAGTGATGGTTAATTTGCATATTACCTCTTTATTATATAGGATGACATTCTAATCCTGAACTTCTCTATTAGAGACCCCAACCAGCTGGGACAATGCCAGGACTCCTCTCCACTGGGTGACACAGTGCAGCCAAGGACCTTGCTGAAGGCCACTCCTCTTGTCCTGGGCTTCTCCAACAGACCCCGCAGCTCCGGGATAGGGAGATAATTAACGGACCCCTCTGAGAACTTCACAGAAACTCTGGACCTCTCTAAATGCTCACATACAATCTCTAAAATTTTGCCTATAATGTCAAGAGTACATGAACTCCCTAAGTCATGAATGGACCTTGAGTTAACAGCCTTGGAATTCCATAAACAATCTGCTTATGGGTGAAAATAGCTCACTTTCTGCCTGTTGTGAAGTAAGTGCCATAACCACAGGCTTCTTAGCTAAGGGGCATCAGTCCTGTGGACACAGGTTCTGCCCATCACGTCCCTACTGGCTACTGAGATCTCCTCTTACCTTGTAGAGAGAGCGGTGGTTTTGGGAATACGGCAACAGCCATCCATGGTACGCCTAAAGATCTACAATACAGTGTGTGTGTGTTGTCTACCTCTCCCATGCTTGGGAACATGAAAGAGTCATGCTCACCTAGGGAGGGACAGCCAGACTAGTGCAGAAATAAATCATGGCATATTTCCTGGTCAAATCCAGCTGATCCTGCATGGATACACTCAGCTCAGGTTGTTTTGTTTGGCAAGAGTTAGGGAGAGGAGGTTGTTGGCTCTCTTTACTTGGTGTGGTGTCCGTACTATAGGTCAGGCTTCCCTTTCTTTTAAAATGCAAGGCCCTGGGCTGAAAGAACACTGCCACTTGAAGTCATGGGCCAGGCACACACACACTCCTTGTTCAGTGCTGGGGTCCCCTACCACTACAGGAGACAGACACCCACCTTACCTGTCTGAGAGCTGCCCCGAAATGAAGGAGCCTATCAGCACACCCACGAAAAACAAGGAGACCGTGAGCGGGGCCTTCCAGTCGTCCTCACACACCAGGTTCCACTGTAAGAGGAGCAAAGGGATGTATCACTCACTTCTATTAAAAATGTTTTAAATTTAAACTTTCTTGGAAAATGAAATCAGAACATCCTGTATTCCTGCGCTCCGTTTAGATGACTATGTGGGTGTGAGTCCGTTTAGGCAGCAATGAATGATCTGGGCAGCAAGGCAGGGAGGAGGCTCCCCTCACATGGAGACTGGGCTCCCTCCCCGTCTGTTTTTTCATAGCTTTTAGCCTCATTGTTTTGCTTCTAGTTTGAGGAAGGGAGCAGCAGGGAGCAAGTACTCTGCCCATGTTCTAATCCAAGAGAAGGCAAGGCCTCTCATGGTCACTTTGAAGAATGTGGGCCGAGCCCAGGGCTGTGGACGGGCAGGGAACCCTTTCAGTGGGGTTTGGGTCATTGGCAGGATGGCACAGGAGTGGTTCTGAGCAGGGCTCTGGGGCTCTAAGGGTCAAGGCATCTGGCAAGGAACTGAGGCCAGGGGGCCTGAAATGCACCATGTGAACCTGTTCCTTCAGCTCTGCTCAGGTCCCCACCCACCCTGGGCCAATGACTTCTTGGACCTTCTGGTGATATTTAGAGCTGGGATCCCTGATGCTGCATTAACACTAGGCCTGATTACAGCCAAGAGCTCTGAGCTGGATGTCAAGAAGCTGGGGTTTAGCTTCTAGTCTACTGTTAACTGGTTATCCAATCTCAGACAAGATTTCCCTCCTCATTGTACCTTACTTTCGTCTTTTGTAAAACAAGGGTTGGGGTAGGTAACAGGCTACATGGCTTGAGTTTCCCAGCACCCAATAGGTAGTTTTGTCTATGGTTACCATAAAAAGAGGTCTGCAGGCTTGGGGAAGCAGCTGAACACTCAGATGTGAGGTTTCTCCAGCCTAACAAGGAGCCAAAACGAGGAAGAAAAGCCCAAACAGGAAGCTTGGTGGTTCCCAGGAAAATGTTTCCCAGAACAGAGAGATGGCGCTCTGCAGTAACCAAGCAGGCCACCTGCCAGGGCATTCTTGCTTGCCTGACGCCAGGCTGCTGGCCTGCCCTCCATGGAGTCTGCAGTCTCCCCAGCAACACAGAGAAGCAGTGGGAATGCGTGGCTCCCAAGAACAAAGCATCTCTTCCAGGCTAAGTGAGGAGGGAAAACAAGTCTACTTCTCTGCTCTGCTGGGCAATGTGTGCACGTAGCCTCCGGGCCCCTTAGAGGGGTAGGAGGGCAGCCCCAGGCTGGACAAGAAAATCCCTGCTGCTATTGATAAGGATGGCTCAGCCACATAGCTGGCTCTCCACTCTGGCACTTTGTATGGGCTGAGAATGGGGTGGTGGCCCCTAACCCAGGGCAGAATTGGGGGTCTCCAATTCCTACATCTAGAGGAACTCCAGGCTAGCAGGAGGCCAGAATTTCAAAACACTAAGGCTTGAATGCTTGGGTTATGGCAGCCTTCCTCATCTACAGCCTCAGTGGTGCCAGTACCCAGATATCCCCGTCCAGACATGGCTGCTAAAGTCAGGATGGAGTGACAGGGAAGAGAGCTGAGGGACTTGGTGATGGGTGCTGGCCTCTGGTATTAGGTAGGGTGCGGGCAGAGCTTCAGGGGCCAGGTCATGGCTGCTGCTGCTCTTGAATGCGATGGGATCTACTCCCAGCTAGCACACATTACGTTTGTAGCAACAGAGATGAAAAAATAAAGACTCAGTAGCTGTTTCTCAACAGGTCTCTTGTGAGGGTTAGGGAATAATATAGCTGAGCTTCTGCAGTGAGTTCTGGGGTGATAGTCCCCCCAACCCATGTCAGGTCTCCCAATATAGGCTTTTAGAGAAATCTGGACTGGCAAGGAGACAAGGCGACTGATGCTCATGTTGGGATAGGTCCCCAGATCATGTCTCCAGCTCCCACAGCTGCCACTTGGTTCAACCTGTCCTTATTCTGGGCAAGTGTGTAACTCCCTGGAGTAATTGAGCTCTCAATCCACCACTAACAATTCTTGACAATTCTCAGGGCCTCACTTGGGCCTTCCAAAAGCAAACATGGGCTAACACTTCCTACTGGTCACATGGGGGGAGGGGGAGGAGGACGACTATGTGTAGGGTCAGGACAGGTAATAGGTCTCAAAAAATGAACACAGGGGCAGGCACCTCGCCAACCTATCCACTCACCTGTCAACTGGTCTGCAGTGGACTTAGGATTTGGCCTGAATCCTCCTTAGGAGGGGTGGGATGATATGCACAGAGGAATGGATTTGGCCTGAATCCTCCTTAGGAGGGGTGGGATGAGAAGGGGTGGGATGATATGCACAGAGGAACCCAGTGTTCCTACACTGAGCTCCTGGCTCCCCAGCCATGACTAAAGCAGCTCCAGACCAGCTCATTGATGCCTCCACTTGGTGCATTGGATGGGCTCTACTGGCTGTTAATAACTGGTATCAGTGTTAGGACTAAAGGTGTGGATTTAAGATTCAGGTCCTGAGTCTAAGATCGTGAGCCTTCTGCCGAATGAGCTGTGAAAGGGGAGTGTCTGAGGACCCAACCTGAAAAAACCTGGGAGCGATCCTGGCATGGGGCCTAGACTTGCTATCCTTCCTGGTAAGAAATGAGCCTTTCATTTGCATGAAAGTTTTCATATTCCACACTTAGCTATGTACAGTTTATGTCACTTATACCTCAATAGAGTTGCTAAAATTTTTAAGAGAGAGAAGTGTGTCTCTTGTATGTAGTATGTAATTGGTGCTGCTTCTTGGTTATAGGAAATAGATTCTAAATGTTCTTACCTAGAACTAAATGTTCTTGCCTGTGAGTTGGCTAGAAGGAAAAAGATACAGCGTCTGTGCCCATAGGGCAGAAGCTCTTCCCTGAGATGTACCTAGCCTGACTGCTTCAACGGTCAAATACACTGGTAAGAATCACTTGTTGCTGAATGCCACGTACTCCTATACACATTTAGTTCGGCTTCCTGCTGCAATTAATGACAAATCCTTGCCCCATGGCTGGCAAGGAGAAGTATCTGCTACCATAACCACTATAATGCCTGGCAGTGGGCAGAAGCTCTTCCCTGAGATGTACCTAGCCTGACTGCTTCAACGGTCAAATACACTGGTAAGAATCACTTGTTGCTGAATGCCACGTACTCCTATACACATTTAGTTCGGCTTCCTGCTGCAATTAATGACAAATCCTTGCCCCATGGCTGGCAAGGAGAAGTATCTGCTACCATAACCACTACAATGCCTGGCAGTGCCCTCCCTGCACAGGTGAGGCTCAGTAGCTGTTTGGTAGATAGGTGAGTGAGCGAACAGATGAAAAAAAGGGCTGTGAATCTTCAACATCATAGTATTCTTTGGGCTTGGTCTTTGAGCTTGGCTGCCCAAAGCCCAGATGAACCCTGAACTTTGATCTCTAGAGTAGATTTTCTTTGCTTCCTCAGCCCCTTCCCTGTGTCAACTGTCAGAACTTTGACCCAGAGTGTGGGTTCTCAGCCATCTAGAGAGGGGCTCAATCTGTTCACTCAGGGCCACATGGGTCTGCTATGACTGCATGCACACAGGGGGCCTAAGGGGACCCAACAAGGGTCTTCTTTGGCTTTCCAGAGCTACAAACGCAGGGATAAGGGTCTGTGCTCCCCTTGAATCAGCAAGGGCATAGCGGTGAGGCGCAAGCTCCAGGTCTGTCCCTCAACCCTAGAGTCAGCCCAGCCCCACCTCCCCGGTTGATGTGGCCTTTCCTTCAGGTGATGTGGCTTGTGGATAACAGTGGGGGCGCTCCTATCTTACAAGACTATCTGTGTATGACATAAGGCTGACAGAAAAGCTAGTCCAGAGAAAGCAGCTTTCTAGGACAACAGGGAGAAAGTCATTGTGCTGCCAAAGGCTGGGGCAGGGGGCTTCTGGGAAGCAGAGACAGGCAGAAGGCAAGGGGACAAAGAGGACTGCCAGGCCTTAGCTGAACAAACTCCAACTCATGGGTGCAAGGGCTAGAAGTTTCTAAAGGAACTTTTCTGGCTGCAGGCTGGGCTATGGAGACACCAAAAAGCAGGAGGCCCAGGCAGTGTAAGAAATCACCCAGGTTCTCAGAGGAGGGGGCAGTCCTGAGTCAAGAAGCATTCGGGGATTGGAGCAGCACAGCAAGGTGGGGTGGCTGACTCTCCAACTCCAGGGATGACTGAGGGGCCAGAGAAGGGGCCAGCCTAGAAGCACATGGACCACCAAACTGTTCCTGAAACGTGGGAGAGCAATCTCATTTCACAGTGTCCCCTTCTTTCAGCCAATCCCAACCCCTTGTAACATGCCCCAGTCCCTGGGATGGGAGATTACATTTCCTTTAAAATATTTCAGTCAGTGCTTTTCAACCACTCTCAAATGTCCCTGCTGTGAATTAAATTATCCTTTTCTTCCTCAATTCTCAAACTTCAGAAAATAGTTCTTAAGTTATCCATTAATCCATTCAACAACAATTTTCCTGCGTACCCACACTCTGTATCCAGCATCATGTTAGGACCTGCAGGAGAAGCAAAGATGTAAATCCAACACCAACTTTAGTACTTACACATACACACTTTAATTCCAAAAGAGGCAACAATCACACAGGAGACCTGAAGTTTTCATCTTCTGTTGAAAAAAAACGGCTAAGAATTCAGTATCAGTGTACCTCTACATATGATGTGGGGCAGAGGGCAGACCTGGGGACTAGCTGCAGTGGTCAGCACGCCAGGTCTGAGTGGAAAAGAAAATGGGCCTTAGAAAACGGGGTCAGAATGTTAATGCAACAGCTTGAGGAACAAGCAGCTCTGAATGTGAAGTCAGGCATTCCAGCATCTCCAAACAAAGGGCTAAGTAAGGCATTAATTTGGCCTCCCAGCAAAGACTGACAACCTGTCAGTAGGTGAAAGGGCACACAGTTCTTATGAAACTGCTAAGACAGTAAAATACACAGGCTAAATATAAAAATGAAAAAGCTGACACTGGTAGCAACTTAAGCTAAGGACCCCTCTGGCAGGAGCTCATCAGTACCACCACCACTCTTAGCCCAGGGCAGGATGAAGGCAGTCAAACAAGAGCAGATGACGAGAGTAAGTCAAGGGATAAGAGGGGTCCGGGTAAAATCCAGAGGTGCCATGAGCTTCTTCTGACTTCCCCCTTCCATGAGCAGCTAGAAGCAGAATTTGTAGGGACTCCTGTATAGAGGAGATGGACAGTCTCTGCTTTCACAACCCTCACTGGCTTCCAGGAAGGTGACAGACTTGCTTGTGAGGCTAGGGCTGAGGATCTGTGATGACAGAAAGTTGTGATTCTCCCTGGAATCTTAGGCCACAAAGCACAGCCAGCTACCTCCATTCAGTGTCCCTCTTGTCAACACCTCAGGACACTGGAATGATGTCATGTCACTGGTTTTGAGATCCCAGTGGGGATCCCCTTCAGCCCTCTCCTCCCCCTCTGAACTCTGCCTTCCTTCTAGGCCGTTTCTTGCTGTTTGAGACTTTGCATCTGCTGAGCTGAACACCCCAGACTCACGGAGAGGCTTCCTCTTTTGGGAAGCCGTTCCTAATCTGCAAATCCCTGACCCTGCCGTCCTGGTGCCCATCAAGGAGGGCTCTCTCACTGCCCTGCTTGCTTAGTTGTGCTGAGACTCCAAGCAGTTGGTGCCGGTGTCTTAGGAAGAGGCAAAGCACATCCACACTCATCCATTAACATCATGTTATACATTCAGTTCTGGTGACACGGGGGTCGCCAGGGGACAAAGCCACCCAGAACAAAACCCCAAGGGGCTGGGGAATGAGACAGACAGGTTTCTCCTGTCTGTCTAGGAATGACAGCTGTATGCTTTGTGACAACATTTCTGGGCAACAAGTCACTCTGAACAGATCTTCAGATGCATGGATCCTAACAGGTTGATAACCAACTATCAGCAAAAAGTAAACAGTTCCTTAGAGGGCATGCTTAGACTGTCATTTTGGGGTGAGGGTGGGTGGGGAAGGAGTAACTGGAAAAGGGAGCAAGAAACAGTTTTATACACATGCTTCCCTTAACTTTAAAAGTTCGGGAAAGAAAGGGAGCATTTTGATGCCAAGAGGCTGGCAGAAAAACGGCGACGGACCCTTGTCCCAAGCCCTGGATCTGCTCCTCCACACTCTCATCCCAACTAGAGGAGGCCTTTGACCACTCAGGGCCTTAGAGCAACTCGTGCGGGCCGGGCTGCCAGGGCCGTCTTGACTCCCTCCCCAAGCTGGCCATCAGGACAGATGGACCGTCTGACACTCTGCTGTGAGAGGGCGTCTCTGGCTGAAGTCACCGCGCAAAGCGTTCCCAAGCCACCCGGCTGGAGGATGGATGATCATTACCAGCGCGCAGTGGGATGGGGGAATGGGAGCGACAACAGCGCGCACTTTGCCCAGGTGAAGTGCGTGAGCTCAAAGACTGCGAAGGACCTCCCCACACCCCGGCCCTCGGTCCCAGCGCGGGCCTGGAACCCACCTCGGTCACGATGGTGGACAGGTAGACGTCCTGGCTGAACTCCCAGCCATCCAGGCAGTCCTCCTGCTCCAGCTGCTCCAGGTCCACGTCGCGCCCCGGCTCCAGC